ACTCCCTCTGAACTCTATTTTGTTCCATGGTCTACTTAACTTTTTTTTATGGCCTACTTAAATTTAATAGTATCTCTAGTGCAAATTTAGCTTGACTTTGTATGCATTCACCTTGGTCATTTTCTTCAGTGCTAGGAAAGTAATAACTCTCCTCAAAACAAAAAAGAAAAAGCCAAGCTTGCAAGACAAATCTGAGAAGTGGCTCACCTGTTGGATTTGGTATAGGTAGCACCTTTTGGTGATAATTAGCTACACCATGAAGAGCATTGACTTCAGTGTTCCATTAAGTGCCAAGGGCTCATTGCAAGTTGAAAGCTCAGTTTGGTTTCCAACAGTCTCCTTACTTTTCTTCATTCTATTTTTTAAAGTTTATTTATTTTTGAGAGAGACAGAGAGTGAGTGGAGGAAGGGCACAGAGAGAGGAAGAGAGAGGATCCCAAGCAGGCCACACACTGTCAGCACAGAGCCTGATGTGGGGCTTGAACTCACAAACCATAAGATCATGACCTGAGCTGAAATCAAGAGTCGGATGCTCAACAAAGTGAGCCACCCAGGAGCCCACTTTTCTTCATTCTAAAAAGTTTGTGGCAATTCCTTGTCCCATGAGACAGCCAGGAACTTATGCCATAAATTGCTGTAAATCAAGAACTTTGATGAACTTGTAACGAATCCAATAGGCAGCAGACTTTCTCAAATAGCTTAATTAAATGATGCTTATTGTTAATTTACCCTAGTATCCTGTTAGCTATCCACAGAGATTTCTATTATCCAATATCAGTAGTGAAAATGAGGTACAATTTACTCAAAAGACATGGGGTTGGAATATATAATTACCTCCAGGTTGTATTCAAATACAATATTAACATTTATTCATAATGTAATTATTTCTTATATCCTCTAGTTAGCCACTGACCAGTTAGCCATTATGGCTGGTTATCAACTGTGTTTTATAGTGATTTTTCTGTCACGTTTAAAATAATCATAAGGATGTACACATATTTTACTCAAATATTTGCTCTCCAGCCATGAAGCCCATCCTTGGTTTGAGCTAACTGTGGCATGTGATTGTGTGCAACCACGGTACAAGGAGCTGTTTGTGACCAAGCAGGTTGGTACATTGCCTTTGCATGGTTTCTCATAATTATCAATTTCCTCTCCTTCCTCTCCCTTTCATTTCTGACATAGACACGAGCTCTCACACCTAGATTCTTCTTTTCTTACATCAAATTTTTAATTGATATATAATTTACATATCTCAAAAATTTGCCCTTTAGAAGAGTACAATTCAGTGGTTTAACAGTGTATTCACAAGATTGTACAAACATCACACAACCTGGAATTATGTAATTCCAGAACATTTCATCACCCCCCCCAAAAGAAACCCTATCCCCTTTAGTAGGCATTGCCCCCATTCTCCCTCCCCCCACCTCCTGGAACCACTAATCTGCTTTCTGAATCTCTGGATTTGCCTATTCTGGATATTTCATTCTAAATGGAATCTTTTTTATTATGGTTAAACACATGTAACATAAAACTTTCTATCTTAACCATTTTAAAGTATACAGTTCAATAATATTAAGTACATTCACATTGCTGTGCAACAGATCTCCAGAATTCTTTTCATCTTGCAAAACTGAAATTCTGTCCCCATAGAGGATGACTTTCTTTTTAAATTTTTTTTAATGTTTATTTATTTTTGAGGGGGTGGTGGGGAAGGGCAGAGAGAGAGGGAGACAGAGAATCTGAAACATGTCCCAGGCTCTGAGCTGTCAGCACAGAGCCCGATGAAGGGCTCAAACTCAGGAACAGTGAAACCATGACCTGAGCTGAAGTCGACGTCTAACCGACTGAGCCACCCAGGCACCCCTAGATGATGACTTTCCATTTCCTCTTTCCTCTAGCTCCTGGCATTCTATTCTACTTTCTGTCTCTATGAATCTGGCAACTCTAGGTACTCATATAGGTAGAATCATACAGCATATGTCTCTTAGTGACCAGATTATTGCATTTAGCATAATGTTTTCAAGCTTCATCCCTACTGTATCATCAGTCAATACTCCACTCATTTTTATGGCTGAGTAATATTCCACAGCATGGATAAACTATATTTTGTTTATCCAGCCACCATTTAATTGACAGTTGGGTTATTTCCACTTTTTGGCTATTATGAAGAATGCTATATAAGCATTCCTGTATAATTTTTGATGTGGACATATATTTTCAATTCTTCTGGGGACACACCTAGGAGTGAAATTGCTGAGTCCTGTGGTAACTCTATGTTTAACCTTTAAGGAACTGCCAGACTGTTTTCCAATGTGGCTGTACTACTCTGCCTTCTCACCAGCAGTGTATGAGGGTTCCAATTCCTTCACATCCTCAACACTACTTATTATCTGTCATTTTGATAGCCATATTAGTGAGTTTCAGCAAGAATTCCCAACGTACTGCCTACCCTCATCATTTCTTGTCTGACCTGAGGCAGAGGAGCCAGATAAGAGGGGACTGTAGCTATTCCTAGGGTATACTGAGAAGAAGGCCAGTGATTGGATTGATTTTGAAAAAAAAAGGACTATTTGTTTTCTATATTTTTTAACCCAAATTCATGCTGAACCTTCAGTTTTGGGTTGATCAAAATAATCAGGTGACTAGACTACTTGAATAAACAATGTATGGTGGGCTGGGTGGAGCCAGCTCACCCCGAGTTTGAATCCTGGTTCTGTCTCTCTGGACTAGTTATTTCACTTTTCTGGGTCTGTTTGTCTCTTCTGTAAAATGAGGTACAATCACAATCAGATGAAATGTATGTAAAAGAATCTACACACTTCTAGTGCAGAATAGGTACACAGTAAATCTTCATTTATTTGTTCTTTGGTTCTTAGGAACCTGTTTTTGAAATCAATTTTTACTAAAATATCCTTTGATTTCAGCCCTTGGGCATTCCTTGTTGAGGTGTGCTGGCTTTTCATGACAGATATAATAGACAAAGTGAACACTCAGGTGGCTTTTCTGGGAAGGTCATTTGATTGATTTTTTTTAAAGGAAGGATATTAAAGCCCTACACATTTCAGTGTTTTTGAAGCTTCATAGTCTGAGACAAGCTGCGTACCTTAAGTTATTACTGTTGTCATGGCAAGTAGTGTTTGCTTTCCATAGCAACTGAAGCTACAGATAATTATACAAATGCTGGGAAAAAAATGGCCAGAGAACAAAACCGTGTCTTGCTCATAGTCTTTGGGTAAAGATGTTTTCTAGTATAAAAGCAACTTAAGGTTCTGTGCTGTGGGGGCCAAGGGCAGGTTGCCCAAAATGTACTACAACGGTATACTGATTATTTTGAATTGGAGCTACTTGTGAAGCAACTGGTGCGAAGACACTCACACACTCCTCTGTCCCCCTGAAAGCAGGAAACACATTTCTCATATGAAAAATATCGTCCCTGTACTAGGAAGTAAGAAGACATCTTTACCAGACATAGGGACTTTTTGTGGGTGCAAAATACATGTGGGCATGATACGGTGGGTACAGCCAGGCTTTCTCACCTGGGCACAACTGATCTCTTGCTCTAAGATTCTAGACAATCCTTCCCAAAGGAAGGATTCCTTCCCAAGGAAGCCACTGGGCTTCATTGTCCTTAATTAGAAAATGAGGGGCTTGGGCCAAACCATCGATAAGGATCCACTTGGCTATGCCAGCATCACTAAGGCAAAACCCTCAGCAAGTTCCATGTTGCTACCCTACTCCCATCCTTGTGAGAGACCCTTAGGGGTTCGCTCACAGTCTGTAGGTTGGAGAGCATAGGTAATTTCAGTGTTCCAAACTTACTCCTGCTAAGTTGAGAATAGAAGCATAAAGGAATAGGCATTTAGGCCCTCTGGGAATGTATTTTAACAATTGGTTTTTCTTTTTAGTTAATTATCTCCCAGAAAAAAAAAATTATCTTTTTTTCTGGGTTTCAATGCCAGACCATGTCTCTTCCACAGTTTGTTACATTAAAATTTTTAGTAAAAGCTATAGCAAGGTTCTAATTGTTGTGCAGTGAGGAGAGAAGAGCAGCCATTACGATCAGGGGCGGATATTAGAGGCCTTGAGAATGGGAGCAGGTTTTCCTCAACAGCCAATAAGTGCTTGTGGCATGGAGCAGACAGCATTCCCACTGCGGGAATGGTGTGGCATGAACTTTTTTAGAGATCATGTTGGCTGCTGGGTGGAGAACAGTTTGGAGGGGACAAGACTGAGAGTGGGAAGGACTCGAGTGAGGAGTGCAGGCCAGGACTGATGGGGATGTGGACTAAAAGGGTGGAACCTTGCAGAATTCACTGGTTGTTTTTTTTTTTTTTTTTTTTAGTAGGCTTCATGTCCAGCACAGAGACCAATGTGAGGCTTGAACTCACAACACTCAGATCAAGATCTGAGCTGAGATCAAGAGTCAGTCGCTTAACTGACTGAGCCACTCAGGTGCCCCTCACTGATTTTTTTTAATTTCTTTTAATTCAAGATGGATTAAAATAGCACTGCTTAAATTCCCTTCATGTATTTATCATTGAATTTTCCCACAAGTAAAACAGATCATACCTCATTAAAGTATACCACAATATATTAGTAACATACCAGGAAAAATGGGGGACTTTTAATGGAAACTGAAATCACACATTGATCCATGTATTCCAGATGTAGTGAAATATTACATTTTTGCAAAATGGTATCTGACTGAACCAGGGATGAACAAAGGTGTGGGTGTTCTTATAAGCCAGGAGTGGCTTGATGTCGATTTTGTGCGAGTGTGTTCTCTTTTCCCTCAAGAGATGTAAAAATGGGATACTTATCTCCTTTGAGTATGAAGCAAACAACCAGCAGTTTGATGCCCACATAGAGATAAAACCTTACATCATTTGTTTTTTTGTTTTGTTTTGTTTTTGTCGTCCAAGGAATTCCTTTGGAAATTTCCATGGAATTTTGGGGGCTTGCTGTAGAGACTACTCATGGCTGTCCTTTCTTTGCAGAGGAATGCCTAGTCTCTGATACTGGCAGGTCCCCTGTGAGAAAAACCAGAGGTAAAGCAAAACCAGAAGAAGCTCAGGTAGAAGTCTCCCAAATCCTGCATGCTGTGTTCCGAAAGGATGGACACCTGGAAGCCCTGCCCACCTTTGGTGAGTATTTAATTGTTCTTCCTGATGGTAATTATAGCCCCATTGACCAGGGCCTTCTTCTTGCCTGGCTCTGTGCCGGGCAAGTTGCATGCATCATCCCGTCAAATCCTCCCTCCTATAGGAGCAGGTACTATTTATTACTGGTCCCATTGGTGAGAGGACACGGTGGCTTCAGAGAAGTTACAGTCTCCAAGACTAGCCAGGATTTATACTTTAGCCCAAACTCTTCCTGCTTTGCTCTGCTGCTGCTAATCTTTCTGCTTTTGGGGGCAAGTCATGGTTGTTTCTGAGGAAGATTGGTTGATCATTATTAGGATTAATGCTTTTAATAATCCCTCTGTTTTGAATGTTGTCTTTGACAACTCAATACTAATTGTATAATCAAAGTTAATTAATGCTGATGATATGCTCTACAAATGACAAGTAATACATACCTACATGCTGTCCTTACCCCCTTGCATGTAATCTGGCACTAAAAGAATTGATTTGTTTTAGGATGAGAAGAACATGACAGTCGGAAGATGGGACTTGGCTCTTCTGCCCCTGATGCAACATTGTGCTTTAGGATTTAGGGAATTGTTATGTAAATACCTACCTTACTAAACAACTTTCTGTTTTACCATTTCCTGGTTATTTCAGATGTCTTGCCAAGGTGAAGCTTTTAAGCTTCATAATTAGAGTTTGTGGTGCCTGAAGGCTGTACTGTAGCTACAAATCCAAATGGTCTATTTAAAATGCACTTTGGGAAGACTCATGATGTTTTAAAATGAGTCCCTCTTGAAAATGAGTTTAGGAGCTTCTTTCTAAACTCCGTAAAAGTTTAGGATTTTAACTTTTTTTTTTTTTTAATGGAAGTATAGTGGACACACGATGCTATGTTAGTTTCAGGGGTACTAGAATTTTAACTTTAATTTTATAGTGGGGAAAGAATATATCCAAAGACTCCCCTCATAGTGATGCACTGCCCCAGCATTTATTGAGATATGATTGACAAATTTAAAAAAGACATATTTGAAGTGTACAACATGCTGTTTTGATATATTTTTACATCATACATATACATATATTTTATGCAATGATTGCATAGTCAGTTTAGAAATCCAAAACGTTGCATTGGAGAGGGAAAGTTCTGGAGCCCTTTCTGTGGCATGTCCTTCTTGTTTTGAGGGACAAAGTTTGTCACTATTATGAAAAAAAGTTTAATATTAATGATGTGACATTAATATTTACTTTGTTCATCCCATACTGTATGCTGGATTAGAACTAAAGTTGGTTTTTAATCTTTCAACTAATTGAAGGTCTTTTTAACTTGTCATAAAATTGGCCAGCTTGAGAAAACAACATGTCATGTTAAATCTCCTTTCTCAATTCTGTGATGGGTGGCTGAGGGAAGTGGTGGAATTGCCTTCTCTGAGAATCTTTAAAACAGACTTGAGAAGTCCAATTGCATGGCGCAGGGCAACCCTGCAAAGCCCTGGTGGATGTCTCTGTGGGAAAGGCTGGCCAGGAGGGCAGACTGGGAAGTATGAAAGAAAGCTGTCTTGCAGTTGGGATCATTGTCATGCTTAAAAAGATGACAAGTCAAGGAGAACGCCTACAGTTGTCCTCCCTTTCACCTCTGGGGCTCCAAGCATCACTGAAGCTGCCCCTGTTGAGTGGCATTGACCCGGCAGGACTTCATGCTCAGCTCGATACTCAACTTGCTCCTCAACCATGGATGAAATTTTGGTTCCCCTCAGGCTATAAGGGCCTTTTTGATTAGCAGGAGATCTGAGCTTCTTTAGCTCCACTATGGAGCCCAGATTGGACCCAAAAGACCCCCATCTCTGGGCTCCACAGACCTCAGCAGGTGCTGCTCGCCAGTGCCCTATGCTGAAGCGGAACCTTGGCAGTCGGAAGCCAGGAGCCGAGCGGAAGGAGCTTCCTGCATCCCAGTTCCGGAGGCGTTCTACACAACCCCAATAGCTTAGGTCAAGGCGGAAATGCACCTTGCCCCTTTTTCCCCGCTAGGTACTCTGGGAGCATAGCCGGTTTAGGTGTTTCATCATGTGAGGAATCTGAGGCTGCTCTTCGTTGACCAACCCTCACGGCTTTCCGTGAGGACTGGAGGCCAAGGAGAAGCTTCCAGGCTCTCATCTGGCCCCTGCCAGCTCCTCCGCGCCCCTGGGCCCCGGGCACTGGCTCCTCAAAGTGGACGCCTCTGAGAGGGAAGAAGGTGAACGCAGGCTGGTGAGGGCTTCTGTGAGGTAACAGGCCTTGGGTGGCCCGCTGCCATTTTCTTATCACCGCGGGCTCGCTGCCATTTTCTTATCACCGCGGGCTCGCTGCCATTTTCTCATCACTGCAGGCTCGCTGTCATTTTCTCATCACCGCGGGTTCAGAAAGATGTCTTCTAGAACACCCTGGGAGGGATGCCTGGTTGGGAGGATGGTTGGGTGCACAGGTGGTTTGCTGGTGTTTTGAGGCCTCCATAGGGATACCATCGTAGGTAGCACTGCAGGAGGCACTCTTTGACTCTTCTTTGGAAAATTCTAGAAAGTTCCCAGTATCGGCCTAAACCTCAGAAACAGATTTGTGAGGAACGTGAGCAAGTAACAAAGCCAGAGGCTGTCCAAGGCACATTAGCACAATTGAGGGGAGAAGGAAAGCAAGAGATTTACCTGGCTTTAGTAGGCTGAGCAGCTGATGAACTGTGACACTGCAGACTTTTCCAAGTTTGAAGGCCATGTTGCAATAGTGGATTTTTAAAGGATCCACTTGAGGTATCATTTGGTTTTGTGTTTAAAAGATAAGGAGTTTGCATTAGGACTCATATCTGAGCCCATCCAGACTGAGCATAGAACTCTCAGCTACTCCAGAAAATCCATCTTTTAAGATGGAGTAATGCCAACGTAAAAGCTGAACCCCCTGTATGAATCTAAAAAGCTGTAGTATGTATAACTGAAGCCTAGATAAATATAAACAAATGCCCCTACAGCAATAAGTAAATAGGACCCCCCAAAGTAAATAAAGTAAACAGGAACAAATTAAAGTGAACAACTCAGGTTGAGGAGAAGCTTTTATGGTTGGCAGAACAACATGTGTTAAAATAGTTTCATTGTGTTTAAATTGATGTTTCTGAAACTGTTCTTTCTTTGACAAATATAGCCAAATTGGGTGTGAGAGGGAAGGGAACTCTGGCAGTTTTGAATAATTTTTCTGTCAATAAAAGGAAGAATAGCATGTTCTGCATTGCATTAGGGGTGGAGGCTGCTGTAGCTTTTAAGTCTCCTATAAATTAAGGAAATGGAATTTTTATTTAATAACCAACCAGATGAACTAAGTGTATTGCTAGAGAAACTCAAATGAATTATTTTATCAGTGGTCCCAAATTTTACTTTGTGACTGACACTTACTACCTTCATTCTATAAAGTCAAATTTTGCTTGTAAATAGTGGCACCGTTTATAACTCTGAAAGTAAAGCTACCATGAAGCCATGTGATAGGGGTTTGAAAGTAGAAATATCCAAAAGAAAAAAAGTGGCCATGAGATGTGATCAATTCTTAAATCAATTCTTTATATCAAATTCTAAAACATGAATGTGTAAATACCGTTGCACGTGGGAAGCACAGTTAACGCACCAAGTGACTCAGAGGTTTTGAGCAAACTAGAAGCTAGTATTTTTAAGATTTCAAGGAATTTTGCTCTTTCCCAGGTGGAAACAAAACGTGAAAGATAAGAGAATAGATAGCTGTAAATCTGGCAAGGCCAGGAGAAAGAAATGAGGAAAAAAAGGACAGGGCAAGGTCTGTATGGTCCCTGCTGTTCCTCTGGGGGTATAGTCGTCAGTAGATTACTATTTTCTCTGACCCCACACATGAAGAAGGAATCTTAAAGCAAGAATAATGTTAATTATACTAATTAAGGGAATTTTGAATTATTATTTTTTGACTTATTTTTTTTTTTTTAAATTTTTTTTTTTCAACGTTTATTTATTTTTGGGACAGAGAGAGACAGAGCATGAACGGGGGAGGAGCAGAGAGAGAGGGAGACACAGAATCGGAAACAGGCTCCAGGCTCTGAGCCATCAGCCCAGAGCCTGATGCGGGGCTCGAACTCACGGACCGCGAGATCGTGACCTGGCTGAAGTCGGACGCTTAACCGACTGCGCCACCCAGGCGCCCCGACTTATTTTTTTTTAAGAAATAAGAGGATCAATTTTTTATATAGTGACTAACCCCTCAGAGAAGTATGTTTTTTCCTTTTCTAATTTAAAATGGCAGATGAGGAGCCCTGGAGTTCTCATTACTTGATACTGGGAAAACCGTGTGAGCAAGCAGGCCAGTGAATCATCCATGGCTCTGGCTTGGTTGGCTGAGGTCATTACATTTGTAATGGATTAAAATGCAGATAGCTCTTTATTTATATAGCTCAGTGGCTTGAAGTGTGGTTTGCTGTGACAGGGGACCTTGGGTGACGGGTGAGGCCATTACAGATGGTGGTGTTTGCAGGGAGGAACACTTGGGTTTTCTCATGTTGGCTGGTTATTTTACTACTAAATGGTTCTCTTTTGGGTCCTTACCTTGTGAATGTTGTTATTTATATCAGCAAAATATATTTTTAAGCAGTTCTGAGAAAGGTTTTCATGTATGGTGTATCTCCATAGGTAAATAAAATAGTACGGTAATAAATTTCTCCTTGTTCTTCATAATGGAATGAACTCGTTTTGATCCTATGTATTCTCTCCTATTTTGAGGTTAGTTGCTTGACTCTGAATATCAGGGCAGAGGGTGATTCTCAGGCTGAAAGCCCATCCCAGGCGATGACAGAACTTCTTTACACAGTCCTTCTCTTACCCAGAGCTGCACCTGTATAAGGGAGAAAATATAATTTCTGGAGGAATCATAAATTCCTCCTGTTTTATAAAATTAAGCATTTAATTCTGCAGTCAAATAGGTAGCCAATTTATTTTACTCACTCCAAAAGGTATTCACAATGATCACATTCAGAAACAAATACTGCCAACTGAAGTGCTTGCTCTAAAAAATAAAATAGTCCAGTTGTGTCTGAAGTACATAGCTTTGTTTTGCTTATTTCTCTGTATGTTCCAAAAGAAAGGGGAGCATTGAGGTGTGACTACACCAAGGCATCGAAAGGTGATTTTTTCCATTAAACTCCAGGGAATAGCTGGAAAGCATTTGACTCATGACTTTGAATGTACGTGGACCAAAATGGCCAGATTGGAGAGGTTTGGGCTTAGTGATGAGAAGGCCTGGGTACCCCTGCCCCAACATCAGTCAGTCATTGCATAGAGAAATCTATGCCTCTGAGTATGAGGAGCATGGCCTGGCACTTTTGGGGAGGGGAGAGAATTGGACACTTCTATCTGCCAGGAGCAGGTATAGGATCTCCTCCCCCTCCCCCAACCAAGCCAGGACCATTGTGTGCAAATTGGTTTTCAAATCAATTCACAGGTACCCAGATTCTTGAATGATTAGAATGAATTGGACAAAAAAAAATGCTCCTACTCCTCTTAAATTAACTGAAAGCTGTTTAGGTTAATGTAATTATGTTGTGGGGAAAGCACTTGGTTAATGGTGGTAAAACAAAAAAAAATTGTGATAAAAGTACAGCTTAACTCTTCTGGTTTTAGCCTCAATTAAAATGTCATTCAACACGCTCACATTCTTGGAACTGGGAACTGGTGAAAAGCTGATGGAGTAAGACACAGGTACTGCTTTCAGAGATCCCATAGGCTAGTGGGGAGATTATATCACAAAGTGCTTGTATTATGCTTGAATATGTGACAGCATCCTTGGAACAAGAGAGGAGGGAGTGACTGACTTCCCCTGGGGGGCCAATTGGACCATAGCACATCTTTCTCAAAGAAGAGGATTTAGATTAGGCTTTGAAGGATGAATTCCATATCCTTAGAAAGAGAAGCAGAGGGAAGGGCATAGATGAACAAAATCAAGGAGGACTGAAGAAGCATGGTATTTTCCAAAGCAGGAGGTGGCCAAGTGAGGGTGGTTGTCCTGAAGCCATAGAAGGAGGGTTGGGGAACCACAATCAGGTGGGTCAGTTTGAAGAGTTGTCTTTCATTTCTTGGACAGTAGGGAACAATGACAGGATTTTAACAAAGAGTATGATTCTAGATACTGTGGGGTGACCTGATCAGGCGGAGGTTGATGGTGCAGGTGGCAAAAGAATTCAGTCAAGGCAGAACAAAGGAGATAGCAGTTTAGTGAATACAGTGCAAGGGGGCAGCCGACAGGACAGCAAAGGAGAGATTATGTACCAGGAGGCAGTGGTGGGGGTCGTAGTGAAGGTGGGGAGGTGAGGAGGTATGAGAAAGTATGGAGTTTTCCTTTTTTGGTACTTGTGCCTGGTTGTAAGTAGCCCATTAGTCAGCTAGGGCTTATGGGTATTTTGAGGTGGATCACCTGATGGGCCTGTTTGCATTCAGCCTAGTGGTCACCGAGGGCCCTTTTACCTTACTCCAGTTTCCATTGTTCAAGCCTGTTGCCTAAAAGTGACCTTTACAGATAGTACATCTGATTCAGAGATAGACCATCGGGACTTTCTGTGATGGATTGGATTTGGGTGAGGGTTATGCAGAGCAGGCTGCTAAGAATGAGTACACAGCTTTCTGTCTTATATGACTAGTTCCACTTACTGAGATGGGGAGTGCCGAAGCACGAGCAGTTTGGGCAAATTTAGAACCTGAGTGTGAGGTATTATTGGTGGAACATCTAGGAAGCAAGCATCCAGGGTCCGAGCTCAAGGGAACCGTCTGGGCTGGAAATAAAGACCCAGAGTCATGGAGGTTTCCCTTTGGCAGAGGCTTCTGTGGACTATTGGCACCTCTTTATGGCTCTGGTGTGGGGAAATTGAGGCATGCCTTCCCACTCCAGCCATAAAAAGCTGCTCTGTCCCCTGTCATGCCCATGTAACTTATGCTGGATCTGAATGTTGATAAGAGCAAGCTATGTGTGACAAAGGTTCCCACTGGGTTTTCAAGGTGATGATCCCAAAACATCAGTCCCTTGAAAGACAAGAGTTAAATAGTTCTCAGGTTTTTTTAAATAGGGTATGTAAACTGCCTTTGAAGTAGGCCTCCCAGTTCACACTCTGCAGAGAAACTACCTTTTCCCTTTGTCCTTTATCAAGAGTGTAAGATCTCTATAAGGCTTTTCCCAAACACTGCATCAACATTAAATTGACTTACAAATGTTGTTTATGAGGAATAGAATATTGTTCTTATTATTTGATGCGCATTTGTGGAGTATGTGTCCTGACTTGAGTTTAGCTAATGTCACACTAGGGAAGGATGCTTTGGAGGTTGATGAGTTTTTCTTCTGATTCTATTTCTCACAATTAAGCACACTGTTTAAGTAACAGGTTGTTCTTTGATTATAGAGTGTTCATGGCCACTAATAAATGTACCTCTGGGTACATAATAAATTGTACCTCTGGGAGGACAGGGAGCTAAGGGTCAGCCTTTTATATGCTAATACCTGAGATAAAAGCACACTAGATATTACTCAAATCAAACTAATATTTAGCTTTGGAAATTAAAGCATAAATTCATGAATTTGATTAGTATTCTCTCTGCATTGATATTTAACCATAATATATGTATGCACACAGTCTTCCAAGATTTTTTCTTTTTTTTTTCTTTTTTTTTTTTTTTAATTTTTGTTTTTCAACGTTTATTCATTTTTGGGACAGAGAGAGACAGAGCATGAGCGGGGGAGGGGCAGAGAGAGAGGGAGACACAGAATCGGAAACAGGCTCCAGGCTCCGAGCCATCAGCCCAGAGCCCGACGCGGGGCTCGAACTCACTGACCGCGAGATCGTGACCTGGCTGAAGTCGGACGCTTAACCAACTGCGCCACCCAGGCGCCCCCAAGATTTTTTCTTTTTTGACCATGTTCATTTTACTTGCTGCAGTATTTCTTGAATTCATGAACGCTATTGCTTTTCAGGAGAAAGCCATCCAAGAGGTATTGTACTCTCAGTGTATCTTTATGCTACTTGTATCCTTGTTTAAGTGAACTTTAACTTTCAAGGTTAAGGCGAACCTTATCATTTGGAGCACTCACCAAATACATGGGTGTGCAGTGCAACTTCGACTTTTCATGGAACTTGCCCTCCTTTATGGTATCTGATCTTCCTGAAAGGACCTTATGGGGTCAGGAATTCAGGGTTTAGCCCCATTTCACAGGTGATCAGAGAGGCCATATGACTTGCTTAAGGTCACATGGCTAGCACAGAACCGGGACTAGGTCCTAAGCATTCTGACTTCAAAAATACCATTGATGGGGCGCCTGGGTGGCGCAGTCGGTTAAGCGTCCGA